TATATATATATGTAAAATAAAGCTGCAGCACAACGGTTTAGTGGTTAATACTGTTGCCTCACAGCAAGAAGGTCCAGGGTTCAACCCCGGGTTTGGATGTCCTTCAGTTTCCTCCCACAGTCAAAACAACCTGCATGTCAGTTTGCCTACAGGCCTCCCTTGCAAAAGAGATCTGTGATCTCAATGAGATTTGCCTGATTAAATAAAAAGGTTAATAAATAAATAAATGTGGTGAATGTAATGCGTTTAAAAAAAATGAGTGCACCCAAGACAGCCTGGACAATTAAAAAGGAAAAATAGTTCAATTTAAAAAGGGCAGTTGTTACTTTTCTTTATGCGATGCACCGTGTGTTCAGTGAAATGAGTTTGTGTCAATCATAAAACGCACTCGGCTAAATAAATAACATGCAAAACAGTGGACACCTCAAAAATGCACAGCTGTCACACAACCTGTACTAAACATTTAGAAACTTGATAAACTTGTATTAATATACACTGAATAACAAATTATAACTGGAATAAAACAACAATGATTTGAGCAAATATGATGCAGTTTGTGTATTTCACACGTGTTAGCAGATGAGACAAATGCAGCGAGCAGCATCAGTAAGAACACTTACAGAAAGTGTGGTGAATGTCAGGAAAGCAGTGAGCAGCAGTGAAGGAGGAGCTGCTTTAAAGGATCTTAACAGCCAGAAAGGAGGAGGAGAGCAGGCTGCAGATTAAACCTTCACCTCATCTCCAATGAAGCGCTCGGAGATCCACTTTAAACGCTTGAGGTAAGCATGTTGCAGAAAGATGTTACAATAAAATCACAGATGAGAGAGAAGATCAGGGGCCAAATACAGTCACCAAGAGGAAAATTAAAGATAATGAGACTGGAGAAGTAAAGATTTAAAAAGTACTGATGCATTTCAGATTCCATGGTACAGAAGATTGTTGATGGTGATGTGGATGCTCACTGGGGGTCAACACACTCACTCTGCTAGATTTGAGTCTCTTCTCACTCAGCAGCCTTTCGTTCTCCATGTCGGTCATCCTGAACCGCAGGTCTGTTACTTCTTGGTACAAACCCTGAGGAAGAAAATTAACAAATACACCTGAAAAAAGTTTGAGTGATTTTTTATATTTTATCAAAATCTTCATTTCTGTAGTACCTCACTACTTTGTGATTCCACTTTTGTAGTTTTTCAAAATAAGATTGTACATGACACACAATTGTCAACTTTAATATTACTCACATGATGGAGACAGTACGGGATACAGTAAAAAGTTAATGAAAAAAATACTTTGTACAGGCGCCACCATTTTGTGTTTTTCTCTCAGTAAGCATACACGATCACCAGTCAAAAGGACTACATTACCCAGAAGTCAGTGCTTCTGGACGCTGCTTTCTGCTGAATTGGAGGGAAAGTTTTGATCCGATCCGAAAAAGTTCGGTCCTTATTCATAGTGACTTCGGCGCTCAGTGGATGCAGAGAGCCGTACGGAACCGATTGGGAATTGGACCAGAACTGGACTTCTGGCCTCATTGGTCAAGCTGAGTGCTGCTTGACGGCCCATGAGGCCTCTCGAGCAGAGAGGCGCTGCTTGGAGGTCCGGTGTCTTCTCCGGAGCTCACCAGGACCCCCATCGAATTTCTCTGGATTATTTGGACTCTATTGGGACCATTGTGTGGTTTTGTGGCTCTCCGAAGGTCCTGCTCTCTCTAAAAGCGCTTGGTGCTCACTGGCTACAGAGAGCTGATCAGGACTGGGCCAAGGCTGGTCATATAAAATTTTTGCAGTAGCTTCTGTGCAATACATACATACATACATGAGTGGGTGGCTGTGGCTGAATGGTTAGAGCAATCGTCCGCCAATGCAAGAGTTGGGGGTTCAATTCCAGCAGTCACATGCCGAAGTGTCCCTGGGCAAGACACTGAACCCCTCATTGCCTCTGATGCGTGTCCCATTGGTGCATGAATGTGATAAAGCACTGATTATTCTTTGTAGAGATCTAGTAGAGTGCTGTATGAACGGGTAAATGAGGTCACAGATTGTAAAGAGCTTTGAGTAACTCATCATGAAAGGAACTATACAAGTACCATTTACGTTTACGTACGTGGTGAAAATGACATAGGTTTAAGAGTTTAGTACATTGCAAGATCATGGGGAGCGTTTATAAAGCCTTAAAATATAAATACTAAAATAAATACAGTAGTCCCTCGTTTATCGCGGGGGATCCATATCCTGAAGCCCCCGCCCGATATGTGAAAAACCGCAAAGTAAGAATAGTAGTACAGGTAGTAATTAGTAGTTTACTTTATTGTATGTATATATACACACACCACACTCTTGTAATATTCTAAATGTTTCTAAACTCTAAAGCTCTAAAAAGCACAGAATGTCATGATTTCAGCTCTCCGCTGCTCTCAGCCACCTGCAAGCGCTCTTGGCCACGCCCACTTCTATGCTCTGCATGGTGAACAGCTGATCAGCTGCAGCAGGAAGTTTTTCCTGCAGTAAGGGCTGTACAAAGGTGCAGCAGGTGCCAAATAATTAAAAATAATTTAGTTTAAATAAAAATTCCAAGCCGATCGTGTAGCTCATCCATCAATCAGCCAGTTGTGCGTCATGTCCAATCTTAATGTGAAAAACCGCGATAGAGTGAGTTCACGATAAACAAACTGAAGTAGCGAGGGACAACTGTATAACATTCATACTTTGCAGTTTTTCACTTATTGGTAGGGGGGAGTGGTTTCTGTAACGCAACCCCTTGCGACAAAACGAGGGTATCTCCATCTCACCGCATCTCAGCACTCTTTACATCCATGACCCTTCTCTGTGGGCGTCCTCTGCTCCTCCTCCCTGGCTGTTCTTGTTCTGGATTTGTTCAAATAATATATCACTTGGTCTCCAAGCAGCTCAACCTGAACCGTTCCTCTGATATAAACTTTTAAAATGCTGTTCAACATCATCCGTCACCTCCAACTCTATTGCCTGTCTTTCTGTTCGTCCCACCCTAACCTGTCTTTTGTCCCTTGCAGCTTTCCTTCGGTCACAAATCACCACTGACGCTCGTCTCCACTCTTCTCTGCCTGCGCTGCTCATTGCTTCAATGGTTGACCCCAGGCGCTAAAATCACTAAATCAAATTGGTCATCAATATTTAGGAAAGAGCAAAAGTGTAGTTGTAGAAATCAAAACTTTTTTCCCTGTTTTCTTTTGTGTGTTTAAGATTTTTGTCCATTTTGTATGCAGCCCATACACAGATGCTGTATGTAAACAAGAAATTAAGATGAAAAATGTATGCACCATATAAGGTCCACAGTCCATTTTATACTGCACATGGCTTTTGCATCTGAACCACATCAAAAATGAGAATACAGTCAGTAAGTTAAACTGTTTAACAACTAAGTATCACAATGTGGACTTTGTCACTTAAACCTTTCCACTCGTTTATGTTTTCTTCCTCCATCCCATCAAATCTGAGTGCAAACTGTTTAAAATGCCTCTGCAGCTTCTCCCTTCACTCGTCAGTGATCGTGAGCCAACAGCTTCTCAGTGGATGATTTGAGTCATACTAGAATTTGAGTGTTAAAGTGTCAGAGCTGAACTGAAAGTGAGAACGTAAAAATAAACTTGTCAATGCTTTCTGATAAAAAAAACACCAAAGTGAGATCGTTGACCACAACTTCTCAAACAAAATGTGCACTAATCACGAGCCATTATATATTATGGTGTTTGTTTCGTCTCTCGCACAGTGACTGATGGATATGGGCGCCAGTGACCCAGAAAGGAAAAAGCAGGTAAGGATAATGGATGTTTTGTTGTCTTTTATCTTATTATAAATTCTAACTGAGTGTGAAGTTGACACGTTCATGAACCTTCTTTTTGTTTGAGGCACAGGGAATACTGTGATTATATCAACCTTTGATTATTTGTAAAATAGTAATGAAAAAAAAATCTAATTAGGAGTATTTGAGGTGTTTTTAGACAAGGCTGGCAAAACGTTTTTTTTTATTATTATAATTTGAAACTTTACTAGAAAACAAAACTAGGTTCAGTTGGAAAAAAAAAAAGTCCATCTTCTCCTTTTAGTCCGTTAACGCCACATATTACTCTCCCCTCAGCTGAGGAGGAGTGTGGAAACTATTTCTTCCTTAAAGAGTGGGGGGATTCTGGCAGGAAACAGCTGCTGGAGCAAAAGAGGAGTTCAGGCCTCTTTCATAACCTTTAAAGAAGTTCAACCAGCATCACATGACAGATCTGAGTCGTCCAGCCGTGTGAGACGGACCTTTGTGACTTTAGAAACAATGGCTGTGGAGCTGCCAGGAGTCCTGGTCCAGGTGCAACTGAGAACTGAACTATCTGCATCAATGAACACCGTGACTGAATACGTTTGGAGGAGGAGGGTGTACCTCGTTTCCCCTGTGGTCTCTCTCCAAAGCGGTTAGTTTGAGCTTCAGGCTGGACACCTCGGTCATCAGCTCCAGCTTCTGGGTCTCCAGTGCAGTCCGGTTTAACAGCTCCTGAGGATCAGTGTGCTCCGTTAGTAAAGTAGCACTGACGAGCAGGTCAACTATTTCTGACAACACTGAATCCCAGCCCTCTAAACTCAAAAACTGAGGAACCTGCGTTGCCAGTTTTATCCTCGTAGAGGCCTTACCTGTTGAAGAAGCTTCTCGGCAGCATTCATCTTCTCCCGATGATGCTCCAGACTTTTGTCTAAATCTCGAATCTTTTCACCTTGCACCTCCACCTGGTCTGTCAACACGCTTACCTGCACAACCATCATACAACTCTTATAAGCATATTTCAGGATGATTAAAACTGTAAGCATCTTTGCATTTTAAGAAAATGTTCCTGTGAACTTAAATCTGCAACTTGAAAACAACACAGTTTTCATGCAACAAATATGGAGTTATAACCAGCAGGTGTTTCTTGAAGTTAACATGAACTCAAAACCAGTCGAGCCTTTTTAACAACCTCAAAATCTGTCTATAAGAAAATTTAATTTAAATTTAAAATTCGGTGTTTTGGACAGAGACAACCCAAAACCTCAAGACAATTTCTATGCTGACGACACATTTGTTTATTGTCGAACTAAAAACAGTTGGTAAAGTTTTCCATCTTTTCCAGCCTGCATTCGACATCATGCAGTCAGATTTGTTCAGTCTCAAACTGGTGCTAAATGCTGATAAAACCAAAGGCAAGTTGTTTTCAAACAGGAAGTTGGTCCCAGCAGTCCTACGAATGGTGCTCTTATTGAGTTCCATCGATTCTTACAAATATTTGGATATCTTGGTCGATGCACATCTCTCTTAAGCCTCATATTGAAAACTTGGTAAAGAAACTGAAATTAAAACTGGGTTTATTTTTCAGAAACCGATCCTGTCTAACTCTGAATGCTAGTAAACACCTTGTAACTGTGACCTTCTTCCCTCCATTGATTACGGTGACATCATTTACATGAACGCTCCTACAAGCACCCTGCAGATGTTGGATGCTGTCTATCACGGTGCACTATGATTCATAACTGGCTGTAACTACTGTACCCACCACTGCACCCTGTATTCACTGGTTAACTGGACATCATTAACTTCACACAGACTCTTCCACTGGTACATTTTCATCTTTAAATCACTTCTTGGTCTGATGCCTTCATACATCTCCTCCTTCATGTCTCTGTGTGAGTGCAGCTACAGCGTGCGCTCTCGGGACATTATTACCTGCAGTGTTCCCTCAGTGAGGACTAAACTAGAAAGAAGGGTCTTCTCCTACTCCGCTCCTGTTTCCTGGAATATCTTACAAAAAGAGCTGAAGCTCTTGATCTTGACCTCCCTAAGTGTCTTCAAACAACTGCTAAGTTCATGGCAAAAACCAATGCAGACATGTTCCTGTGTTTAGCATTTTACATTGCTTTATAATGTAGCTGTTTTTTTGTTTGTTGTTTCGTTTTTGTATAATTTCTTCCATTTACGTTTCATTTTATATGCTTTTTATACGTATGTATATTGTTGTAACTCATCTGTGTTCTTCGTTTTAAAACAGGTCTCTCTTGTACCGTAATTCCTGCCGTACATGTCACGTCAGTCCAAATATGTCTAAAAAAGTGGAAAAATCCATAAATATGTCGCTTTGCAGTATACGTTGCATCCATTATGCATCACCGCTGACAACCCAAAAATGTGGGCTGGTGTTGTGTCAAAAATTGATTGGCTGTCAAATGGCAGCCGTGGGAGCGTGCACTGGAGGACTTTAACATGAATTTAACAAGATTAACACTTAAAAACAATTATTTGTTTGCTCAAAATTATAGTAAAGGTGTGTCTCAGCATAACGTTTGCTTAATAAATGCACTTTGACGGACAAATCAGCTGCATTTCAGAAGTATTCACTGCCTCAGTGCTTCGGGAGCATGCAGAGGGAGGAAAAAAAAGGAAGGAAGAACGCGGCTCGTTTCTTCGAAATTTAACAAGTACCCAAAACAATTATTTGTTTACTTGAAATTATAGCAATGGTGTTTCTCAGTTGAACTTTTACTTAATAAATGCACTTTAATGGTCAAATTAGCTGCATTTCGCTGGGGCAATGCAGCTGGTCCGACTTGCTCCAAGCAGTGAGCAGAACAAAGGTGAGGGGACTGTGGCAAGCCGATTGTGTCATTAATAGCTGGTGAAGATTCTCAGTCATCCAGGACATGATAGATTAAAAGAAGTTCAAGACAAAAACAATTAAAGTGTAAAGTATAAAAAATAAAAAATAAAGTCCCATTGTTTTCATCTTGGAACTGTTGAAATTGTCATTATAGCCACGTTTACCTATTACATGATACAACAGCATGCCTTACTTCTACTACTACTCTGCTGCCATCTAGTGGCGTAAAGTGGCACTGCTCTTTTTTTTCCGGTCAGAATGAATGAAAACTTTCAGATCTCAGCCAAAAATTGGTTTATAAATATGGGGAAAAAAATCCATAAATACGTCACTTTAGCCTATAAGCGACAAGGCATGTAAATTATGCCAAAAAAATAAAAAATTACCTATAGGCCGAAAAATATGGTAAATTAGTCCTTATGGCTCAATGAGACTAAACTGCATAAAGGTTGAATGAAAAAAAAAAAAAAATTGTTCCTGAAAACCACAAATTATCCTCTTTAGACCGATTGTTTGTTTTTCATCTAACTCTAAAGAAGAGAACAATGTAATACTATACAGAGAACTTTGAACTACAAGAGAATTCAAGTCCATCACACAAAAGTAGAAGTGACATCTTGAACAGAAGAGAAGTGGACCCATTAGGTAAAAAAATTAAATTAAATAAAATGACTAAAACCAGGAAACAAAACTACTTAAAGCTAGACTGACATTTAATATTTGTTCATCTCAACTCAGAAAATTAAAAAAGAACCATCAGGTCAGAGAGAATACAATTACTTCATACTTGATAAGAGTTTTGTTCACAAACCTGAAGGATGAGACACTCTTTGTCACTCTCCAGTCGTGAAAGACGTTCTTGGTGGTCCACCTCTGAGCTGTGCATGTTCGTCTGAGGGAAAAAAAAATTATCATTTGTGTTACAAAAAAATAAAAATAAACGCTGTATTTGTCGTTTTAGGAAATAAAAAGCTTTTAATTCATTTTTTAGCATTAAAGCTCATGAATAAGCGAGGGAAAGGTTTTCAGCTGCTGGGTTGAAACATACAAGGGGGTCTGTAATTAATTGAAGACTCATTTTTATAATTATGCTCCTGTACACCACTACAATGAGCTTCAAATGAAGCAATCAAGCAGCACAGACGCCGTTCTAATTACAGGTGGTGGGTTGAAAACTATTACATCAATTGTTTTAGGAATTGGACCCGTTTTGCACATATTTTCCCCCCCGTTGTTACAGATTTAATCAAATGACGAGACAAATAAGTGGGGCGTTATGAATGTTTTAATAGTCCTGGCACATATCCTCAAGTCTAACCAAAGAAGTGCAGATGAGATTAGATTTTTATGTTCTGCTGCCTTCAGTACTGCTAGTTTGACTTGTTTTAATTTAGTCTTTAAGTTAAGAAAATGGACAATAACACAACTTTTTTTCCCAAAAAGTATATGAAGGTCACTAGGGATCTCACACTAAAGTGATTTTAAAAGCAAACCCTTCTCTCAAATTTCACAGACAGACGCAGGGCGATGGTGAGGGAGAATCATGAGTCTTGCAGAGATAGAACGAGTTTAAAGGAGAATATCTTAAGCAGGACTCCTACAGAAACGTTATCAGTCATACAGAACTTCATGACTGTCGCAGTACAGACAAAAACATGATCCAGAGATGAAAAGCAGAACAGAGGATGATTATTACAGACAAAATGTTTATCATTCACAGACTTGAGCTGCAAAAAATATCCCATCTGCATCTATTCATACGTGGATCAGACATGTTTCTGTTAAAAAGCAGCTGAATTGAACTGAAATCTAAGTAACTTCTGGAATCAGTTTGGACTTGATCAAGTCAGATGATAAGCTGCAGATGTGTTAGTCTCCAAAAGACAAAATTGTAAAGGGTTTACTTCTCAGCCTTTTAACAAAAAAACAAAAACAAAAAGCCAGCAGTCTCGGTGGGCGGGGTCTGTTTTCTGTGACGACAACTGAAGTTATTCCATTCCTTTAGTTAAACTCACTAATCACTTGTGCTCTGTGTAAAGATAAAACCTGATGCGTTATTTAAAATCATTAAGAATTTTTCAAGTAAGAAGCTTCCAATTCACCACAGAGAATAGAAAGTCTCCTGCTGTTGACTTTTGTTACCGTTCGTCCATGCAGCCAATCTGCCACTCCTTCTGCGGTGGAATCAGGGATCTGGCAGCGCAGGTTGTCTTTTTCCTCATTGTCCATCAGCTCCAGGGCTGCTCGCAAGTCCTCCAGAAGGTGCAGCACTCGGAAGCCACCCAGAAAAGGTGACGTGGGCGACTGGCAGTCAAACAGTCCATTGGAGTAATCAATGGCCTTAGAGCCTTGGGAGAATCAGAGAGGAGTTAAAGCCAGTATCTCGCTGGGCTACCACTACTGGAGATTAGCTGGCCACTCAAAATTGAAAGAAAATGGACATTTTCAGTTTGAGTGTTTGAATTTTGAGCATTTATGGCCAGTGAGCTGTGCGGCCATGTTTTATTCAACCAGCGAGCCCGGCAGCAGCCGGTGTTTGAAAAACCATGGCCTACTTTCGTGTGCACGGCTTGCAGAATCGTATTAGAGACCCACTTGTGAACGCTGTTCACCAGCTAGTTGCCAGCAGCCGCAGCCCAGTGACATACGGGTGTTAAAATTGGATTATTTCACAAGAATAAAAAAGTCAACGCAATAATGATACAAGACGTAGTAAATCAGGCGTAAAACCCAAAATGAGAATCAAATGAATTGGATTCCCACACCCCAAACAGCATGCTATAATTTGAAGTATTTATGGCTCAGACCACACTTCATTTAAATCTGTGGGAAGATGGATGAAACGCTTTGTGTGTGCTTTTCTTTAGAGCAGCTTAAGGTTTTGGAACATAAGCATTGCCGTTTTTGTTTAACATATTGTAGAAGCCCGTCTCATGTGCATAAAAACCTTTTTATATACAAGAAAGTAAACAAGCTGCGGTGTGCTTTTTGACATCTGTATGAATTTTCTTCAAACGTCGCAGTGATTGTGAAGCAGGTGTTTTATTTTTCATGCACAGATGCCGCTTGTGTAAACAACATTCTTCATATCTTGTAATCAAAAAGTCCATCATACATTCTGTTGTAATTTATACATGTTCTCTTGGGCCATTGTATTGTTCGTGTACCTGTATTTTGAGTTTTACTTATAGTAATTTTATTAAAACCTGTGCACTTAATCTAATGATGTCTTCGCAGGTCCATCCTTAACTGTAAATTATATTTATAATTATTTTATGTTTTTAACCTAAATGACAAATTATACAATACTATACATTCCTAAAAGGTGTTTAATGTCTGTCAAATGGAATCAGTGAAAAACATACTAAACCTACCTTAAGAAAAGGTAACTGTGCATTTTCCTTCATTGCCATTTCAGGTCTTTATTCACATCTTTTAAATGAAAAATGAACCAGCTGGTTGCTTTATTTAGAGGTTATTTTTATTTTACCTTTATTTAACCAGGCAAATCCCATTGAGATCACAGAGCTTATGAAAGGGAGGCCTGGGCCTGAAGGCAGCCTAACATGCATGTTTTTGGACTGTGGGAAAAAACAACAAAAAACAAAAAAACAAAACAAGAGTTCCCAGAGAAAACCCACACGAACACAAGGAGAACATACAAACTCCACACAGAAAGATCCCAGGTCCAAACTGGGGATTGAACCTATTAGTTAATATTCTCTCTACTTTAACTCTCACTCTCAATATTTATTTGAAAAGTAAAAAAAAAAACAAGGAGAATTTAACATCCTTGAGTAATGATGGAAACCATATTTAAACTCCATCTTTGAATCATAAACGCACCGCCTGCACCAGACTAACTGATGTTACTCCAGCACATCCGTCATCCATCCTAAATGTCAGCTATAATGAAGATGCTCCACGTTATTAAAGCAGTTCAATAACAAATAATTACAGAAATGCCCAGACAATCATGGCTTCCTCGCTATAGTGAAGGAGTGGGACTTGATGATGGCTGTGGTTTCTGAGAAAACGGGGTAGAGGCTGGTGGGTGTCATGTGATCACCCGCCTCACTCCCGTTGGAAAGGTCAGTGCTATAATTACATACATCAGCGGAAAAGTGGGGACTCTAAACCTGCAGCCTGGGCTGCTCATCTACAGCAGCACAATCAGAGCACAGCCAAAAGCTCTCGGGCACAAGTTTGTAAAAGTAGTGGAGCTTGAATAATCATTAGTTTCCACTGATGCAGGGACAATGGAAACTTTTTGTATTTTCTCATGAAGCAAGGCAGAATGAGCCAGTGATTCAGATTTATTCAAAACTTTGAGAGAGAATATTAAAGTGCAGGAAGCAAAATGAGGACACTGTGCTGCAGTCCACTTCCCAGCTTCCAATTTAACCATTTCCAGATGTGACCAGAACTCATGGCATGCTATGCCCACTTAAATGAGAGCCCCTTAAAGTCCAAGTGTTCAGTGTGATTACCTGCAATGATCCCATCCATTTGCTCTAAAGCTGCTGCCAACATCTCGCTGGCGTCCGACATCATCTTCTGCTGGATAAACCTGAACAGAAAGGGGATGGGATTAAAAGGATAAAGGGACATGAGTAAAGAGAAAATGATCCATTAAAGATTTGTCTGGTTAAAGACACTGAAATATGCAAAGAGTCAACTTTAACCAGCAAGTGCACAGACTATTTGCCAGATGAGTCACGAGTTCATAAAATTTGACTGAATGAAGAGTGGAAATCTTACAAAACGTTGACGTACTACACTGCATTGGCATTTAAAAAAAAAAAAAATCCTAAAAGCCGTACTGGTAAATACAAAGTCTCAGAGGATAATTAGAAGGTTTAAAAACTCAAAAGCTTCTAAAAATTACATCAGTGTGAGACTACTTCATCAGCTATTCTAATTAAAAAACTAAACCCACAACAACAATGGTTACAACTCCTACAGAGATCTGCCCACCACATCTTCACATTCACCGTCATGTATATCTAAACCCCTCAGCCAGCACAATCAGTCAACAACAGTGCATGTGAGATCACAAAGTTTAGCGATATTTAGACTGGAACTAGATCAGAGGGCTGTTTTCGCCCACTACATGTGACGCAAAACAGGAACGACGCGCCACTTCCTACAAGAAGGTCGAGTAATGAGCAAACTGGTTACATCGTGTCCTAGAAACTGATCAAGAGCAGGGAAAAGCAACGTGATGCAACTAAATTATAATACACTTTGCAAACCAATTCTGCAAAACAAGATGGAATCTTCAGGATTTTAATTGTTTCAGCTGCCACCCTACATATCAGTACAAGTACAAAATGATTAAAAATAAAAGTATCTTTATTTTCGATCAAAGGAGGAACAAGTAGGATCATCGCATTATCACAAAATCTTATTACAGAATGGCATAAGGTCCCATTCATCCTCTCCAAATGACCACGGCATCAAATTAACCCTGCAGTCTGTGCAGCAACAAATTGGCTGCCTCAGAGACCAAAAACAAAGTGATCTTCAGAACGTATTACCCAGCAGCCCTCGTTTCCTGCGCTCAGGCAGTAATGGACGCTCCTATCAGGAATAACAGCACTATTCTCCCAGGGGTCTCAGGCCTTGTAGTGCAGGCATGCTCGGCATCTCAAACTTCCATAACAAAGTCGTACAGTATCCACATGACCACTCATCACATGCCTCTCTGTTGCTTATTTCCAACTAAATCTAATTTGAAAGAGACTGTGTACAATATGTGGAGATCCAAGCACTAATGCAGAGTCTCTGTTCAAACATCTTGTGGTGCAGATGAGAGGAGGGGGGGGGGGGGGGTCGAGACTACAGGCTCTGCTTCATTTCCTCCCACTGTGGGGTCACAGTGTCGCACCCCATGGGGTAAGAAATGAGCATAATTAAACCAATGCCCTCAACATATGAACTGAGGGCTGTTGTTAAAAAATAAGGCTTAAGTGCTTCATTTGTTTTAAATACAAACTGGAGGCAAAACGGTTCAGTCTGGTCTAAAAAGGTCATACACTGTACTTTATATTTAAAAGTATTCTATAGAAAAAAGACTAACCAATACTTGAGAACAACCTGCTTTTATGGTTTGCTTTTAAAGCTCCTCGGGGGATTCAAGGTTAAGGAGGACCACAGATGTGCGTCCTACCGACATGTTTACCTCCCCAAGTACAGCCGTGATTTGATGGAAATCTCTTTATTCTCACCAGGATAAAAGCTGCATTCAGCTGCCAAACAAACGTAAAAAACATACAATGATGCTCTTTTTTTGTGTAGAAAATTTAAATATTACTGCCATGTGAAAGCAGAGGATAGTTACTTTAACAAAGGAAACAAGGACATAAACAAGATGAAATCTTTTGAATTAAGTAAAATCAGCGCAGAGGGAAAATTAAGGCCATTTTCTGATAGAAGCCACATTTAAATTGTTTTTATTAGTGTCATGAGAATCCCCTTCAGCACTGCACAAGCAGAGGATCTTAATAACCCACATGCAAGTCATTAGGGTTATTTTGGGCAAATTTCTGAACAAAGCAAATTGAATGAGGGCTTACTTTTTATCAGAAGACGGCACAGAAATGTTCACGTCTGTTTATTTCTCAGGTTTATAAAACAAGCACCCTTTAAATGCCACGAGGCAGAACAATTTGCTTAGATGATCAGGTCATCCATAAATGTTCTGATCTTAAACTTAAGAGAAATGCCCAAAAATGAGAACCACCACTTCAGCCCTGCAAAACAAAAAAAAGTGTTGCAATTATGATTCCTGACAGTTTGAGTGACCCACAGTGAGTGGAGGAGTGAGCCCTGCACTTGACAAACATTCCTGAGCAGGTTAGGCTCCTGAAAACTCAACATTCATGCCTGGCACCGACATCCCCGCTGACACTTTTGACCTCCTTCCTTCCAACTACATTCCACCCCTCACAGTTTTAACACTCAATAAACTTCTTTTGCATGTCAAGAATGATGCTAGTGACATACCATTATCTTTTAGCAAATTATGGAAGACAAAAACCAGGGGCAAAACTGATCCTTCTGGCAAATATTAGTATAACAAGAAACAAATATCCTTTTTCCACTCTGTGACTGAAGGCTCCATTGTTGCGCACGGTCTGTTTGACACAACATACATCCTGCTGCTCCTGTAAATACACAGACACATCACAAGTGGATTCTTTCCTGAAAACGGCTCAAACAAATAGGTTTTTTTTTTCTGCTCTGGGTAACTTGTGGCCGCAGAAACAAACTTGTTTGGACCCGACTGTCACTGAGATGCTGGTTTAGATAAACTCCATCGGCACGAGTTTGTGCAATACGTTTACAAAACCTTAGAAATTAACTAGTTCGGACATCCAAGAGCCTGCAGTGTGACAAAAGTTTCAAAAATGGATGGAGAACATGAAAGAATGGTGTGTATATATATATATATATATATATACACACACACACACTTGACATCAAAAAAGTGACTGAATGAATCACAAAGAGGAGCTCTGTCTCAGTTCACACCTGGGCACAAATGATCTCTGCATGAGTGTTCGACTGTCAGAACCTTCAAATAGTGTTTTCCCATCCACTCTAGAATAAAAACATCTATATTACATCCGTGTCCAAAATATATACTCGCCATCAAGACTTTCCAAAACTTTAATTGTTAACTTGCATCCTAAATCCACAAAGTAACATTCATGAAATGCTTTGCTTTCAAAATGGAATTTAACAAGTTAAAACAGTGAATTAAATATAATTCAGAAAGAATATTCAACTTAAAAAATATATATATATTAATAGCTATGTTTACATGGACATAAGTAAATGGATTAAACGGCCATTCGGAATAAAAATGTGTCATGTAAACGCCCCGTTTGGGTTATTTTTTGTTTATTCAGCGCGAGCTGAAAGAAATTGTGATCAGAACAAAACGAGTGGTTTATGCCGATTCATAATCCGAACGGTACGCATATAAACACTTAATCTGTTCATTTTTTTCCGATCGTGAAAAACTGACCTGACTGCGCATGTGCGACCGATGTCATTTCCGCCTGGCTAATGCTAATAATATTAGCGTGTCGGGGAAGCAAAACTGGTCGGTGAGCGACAACATTTCTACTGGAAACTTTGAAAGAGCTCAAAATGATCTGTATCACCTGCAGCTCAGTCAGGGAGTGCAGTAACGTCTCCACCGTCGTTAAAACCTGTCGCGGGTCCATTTTGGGCGCTCCGGTTTGTTTACGTTCATCCCGGATGTAGAACTTCTGTGTTTTTTTAAGGAGAGTTTCCCACTCTGCACATGTCAGTACTTCTGTTCAAAAAAACCCGCTGCATGTAAACGCTCGTCGTGAACGGACTGTGCCCACGTAAACGATACGTTTGAATTATTTAATCTGAAAACGTTTCAATCCGGTTAAAGAGTTTTGCACATGTAAACATAGCTAATGTTAAACTTGACTCCTCTCTAGCCAAGTTGTGGTAACATTAAACAGATGGCGTGAATGAAGTTTTGGAGTAGGGGGAGGAATAAGCATCTGGGGGGGGGGGGGGGAAGGGGGGGGGCGGTCTGTCAGGTTAAGATTATTTGACCAGATGCTGAAAGGCTGGTTTCTGTAACTCACACACACCTTCACTACTACTACTTCTACTACTACTTCCATCTGTGGTGCAGATGTGCATTTTCAGACTCAGACTGGCTCTTCGTAGCAGACGCAGAATAATTTGTAGTAGAAGTGACTCCATTATAAGCAGCAAAGAGTTCAGATGTGGTCATATTGCAGTGGACCTAATTTATTTATTGCCTACCCACGTGAACTATAATTTTATAAACCTGCCTGGAGCTACTCATCTCATCATGAAGCGTTGGTGCCGTTTTACTGTTCCAGCGTAAAGTTGATGGCATGCTGTGATCAGAAGCTTGTCAGTCCTCAAACACATGAACTACCATACCTTTCTTTACAACAAACTTTAAAACGAATGCAATTACCCCAATGAAAGTGGGTGATTTGTGGACATATTTAAAGCTTCCAGCTTTATTTGATTACAATCAGCTTTTGAACGATAAGCCAAATACAAAGAAACGCTAAAAACTATATTTAAGCTAACAACATATTCTGCCATCTTACTTTAAATTAAACCATTATTATATATTTTAAAAAAAGTGGTTTATCCAAAAAAGGTTAAACTAGCATCTTGGACTTGAATTTGATCTCAAAATAAAATATTGCCAATATCCAATTAATTTCTACAACAACTTTATTTAGAAGCTACAGCAGTAAACACCCCAAGTATTAGTATTTTTTTGTACATTATATGAAATTTCTCTAAACCAATAAGATCATTTCAAGTTGCTCAAACAATTTGACATGGGTCACACTTTTGTTTTCCAAGTTGGAGTGGACTTTGTATGTTTATGTTATGTTAGACGTCAGAATTGTTTTACAGATGGACACGTACATTTAAATGTGCCTATAATCCCTTATAGGCAAAGAAATGTGCTTTAATGAATAAATTAAATTTCTAAATTTTTCTTCCATCCATTTTCTTTATCCG